GGTCCGCCGCCCCCAGTGAGAGCAGACCGGCCAGACGCGCCGCCCCGTGAAGACCAGGATCAGGCAGTGTTTTAACGCTTTTGAACCCCTGCCAAAGCCAGAGATGAACAGCAAGATGACAACTCACTTAAACAGTTATCCCTTGCTCATTTACTCCTGGGCAGAGCGCGTTGCACAGCCGCAAGAGACACAAAGTGACGTGCATCTGTGGCTTATCTTTCCTCTTTAGCCTAAAACAGAAAGCGCTGTTTATTTACAAAAGCGGTTCCTGCTCCCTTCGCTTGCGATTGCTTGGGCAGCAATCGTCCACAAAAAACGCAGCTACCACCAAGCTGCTATGATATACGTGGGGCAAATATTACCCTTGTAGTTAATCCAGCGTACAGCGAAGCGAGGACAAAGCACAGCTATTCGGGTCCGTCACGTCTGCGCAAGCTGTTTGCCTCCCTTCTCCTGGGGGTTACCCGCACAGGCGCTGCCCAGAACAGCTTGTCTGTCAATACTTGTCTTAACCTAGCGACTTTCATATTCATCTATTTGCGAATTTCCCTGACCTCACCTCGATTCTCACTGCGAACACAATATCCAGGCGGTTCGAGCGCTCACTTCTCTAAAACTTACGCCAAGGGAATTTTTTTTTTATCTTTCCCCAGGAACAGCAAGATCAAAAAGGGAAGAGGAGGAGCCAGCACGGGCGAAGCAGAGGGACCGACAGGTGTAAAACCCCCGTGCCGTGGTCCCAGCGCACTTGCAAAAAGCAACTGTTTTCCAGCCGGTTTTGCTGCTGAATAAACGCAGCCACCAAAGGCGTGTTTCCCCTTGGCCCAGAGGGAAGCGTTTTTGCAATTTCTTGCTAGAAACTCTCTAAACGCATCGCTTCCCTGAATCCCCGCGGAGATGTTTCCGCACACAGAAACTGTTGGGCTGCTACATGTGAATACAAACTACTGATTTTTTCTTTTAGCTGCCACCTGGTTCACCTGCCCAAGGAGAGCCACAGGGAGGAGGGTCGGGGCCGTTTCGCCACGCCGCCAGCTTCGCCGACGCCTACAAAGCCGTCCCGTCTCCTCGCTCCCCGTGCGGGGAGCAGCAACCACGGCCAACAGACGAAAGCACAAGCGGCATCATTTTTGTGCTGTAAATAGCGGGAGACAACATCCGCGCTGCCCGTCCGTAACGCGGCCT